TGGGTGTCCAGCATTAAGAGGCAATGCAATATCTAAATAGGCCTAATACTGATCTACTGCAATGTTAATCAGCATTCATTTACACATTCAGCATGATTCGTCTCTTGGATCTGACAAAGTTTCTGATTTCTTGAAATGCAGCCCATGTAGAGCAGATTGTTGCGCTATAACTGCACCAAAACCATTGAGCTGGAGCACTAACTGAAATCGAACCACATTGATGGACCATAATATCTCAAATAGAGATGAATGTGAGCATGCTGCACAGTTTAATAAAGATTAAAATGCGTGCATTAACCGTGAGGTGCTCTTCGGTCAATTTTGAACATTACATTTTAGTTTAGTTTAGTTTTTTTAGAATTTTTGACTTCATCGGAATGGTACAAAACTTGGTAAAGGTTTAGGTGTTTGCTATGTGAACACAGACACACAAATCATGGTTCAAAAAGGTTAAATGGTCCTGGATAAAAAAAAGTCACACTTGGATTTTCATAATAATAAACTTAAATTTAAACTTAAACTTAATTTTTTTCACTTCAACAATAATCTCCCAAGTGTCTACTTTAAAATGAGATCAAGCTTAAGTTTGTGCTGCAAAACATTCAATATTTATCACAGTTTAAGTTGGAAATTAAATTTTTAGGTCTATGCTCAAAAAGCAACATATATTAAATGGATCATAACTATTCCATAAATATAATTCAGTATCATAAAATCCCCTTTAAATACAAAATATTAAATGAATAACATTACCAAACTAAAATATAGTACATTTATTTAATCAAAATAACAATGCAAATGCCACGAGAGAAGCAAAAGAGGGTTACATATACAGTACACTACTGTTGAAATGTTTCGGGTCAGTAAAAAGCAAAGAAATTAATACATTTATTCAGCAAGGATGCATTAAATAGATCAAAAGTGGCAGCATAAAGACTTGCATAAAGATTCTATTTCAAATAAATGCTATTTTTTCCACCAAAATATTAAGCAGCACAACTGTTTTCAACATTGATAATAATCAGAAATGTTTCTTGAGCAGCAAATCAGCAGATTAGAATGATTTCTGAAGGATCATGTGACACTAAAGTAATAATGCTGAAAATTCAGCTTTGATCACAGCAATAAATTGCATTAACATATATGCAAATAGAAAGTCATTTTAAATCGCTAAAATTATTTCACAATATTACAGTTTTTTGTTTTTTTAATAAATGCTTGGTGAGCATAAGAGACTTTAAAGACTTTTAAAAATCCCCAACTTCTAAACAGTTTTTGGCTGCTATCAGTTTGCATTTGTTCTTAGCCCTCACTCTCTCGTTGTCTTTGTCCAGATCTGTTTCACTACAGCAGCTCTTGTGTCAGGACTCTGAGGAACTCTTATCTGCAGGAGTTTCGGTTCCTCTCCAGGAGCGTGTTAATATCAGCAAAGTGTCTGCAGCGGACCATCTCATGCTGCTGAGAAAGGTTACAACAGCTCAAAAAAAGAGGCACCAAATCCTTAAACAGTTCCGTCTGGCAGCTATAGCCTCTTCCCAGAATGCTTTAGGGCAGAGTCAGAACTATTTTGATTTTTATTTTCTTTTTCTATTTCTAGAGGTAAATTGTATTGCTGAGAGGTTGCTCAGGAGACAAGTTCTCAGTTATGTTTCATATAACTATCAACTTTATAAGATATTTAAGAGATATATCTCGTTGTGAAATTTCTTGGGTCTTCATATGGGGAGAAAAATCAAAAGTCTCCATTTATTTGCTATTGATCTCACTGATGTGAAGAGAAATCTCATAAAAAGAAATCTTTAAAGAAATAGTTCATCCAAAAATGAAAACTAACTGGTAAAACAGTTATTTGACCCTGTTCTTTGAAACAAACTTTCAGTTTGTGGAAAATCATTTGACTTTCCCGTTATCCCTGAGTTTCTTGCACAGACTGATCGTTTCACTTCATAAGACCTCAATATAGGAGTCACTGGTATTCATTTTGTGCTTTTTTTGACTCTCGAAGTGACGGTAGCGTTAACTTGCATTTTATGAATCAACAAGGGCCGTGGCTTCAGCTAAAAATCGTCTTCTGAAAAAAAAAAAATCATCATCTTCTACTGAAAAAAAAACAAACAAAATGTGCATACATCCATGGCCTAAAGGATGACAAATGTTGCCTACTTTGAAAGAACTGTCCCTCAAAAATGTCTAGTAAATTTCACAAATAATTACAAAGAAATTGCAAGTACCACATGAAATTTTGAAGTAGAAAGACTGAAATAGTATTTTCTTGTAAAACATATTCGAATTATTGTTTTATTTACAATTCAGAAAAATCTTTTTTTTTCAGTTAATATTTATTATATTTTAAGTAACAAACATGTTTTTATGGTTTTAGTTAACGATAATAAACCTGATATATAAATAAAAATATAAATATTAAATTCTAAGTTTATATCTGCAATTCTGAGAAAACTCCCTGAGTTGCGAGAAAAAAAGTCACAATTACCTTATTTGTGACTTTTTTAAAATTATTATTCCATAGTGAAAACGGGCTTTCATTGTTTTCAATGTGAATGTACTGTAAAATATTATTTATTCCTGTGATCAACGCTGAATTTGCAGCATCATTACTCCAGTCTTCAGTGTCACATGATCCTTCAGAAATCATTCTAACATTCTGATTTGCTGCTCAAGAAACAGGAAGACAAAATAAAAATAAATACATTTAAATCTAAAATGATTAATTCATCAAAATGTGCAATCAGTACACAGCAGAATAACTGGAACAAGTTCTCTCTCTCTCTAACGACATTTCTGGTCACATTCATGAATGCACAAACTGTCAGTGAATTTTCCATATCTGTCTTTCAATTCAAACACAGCCGATGAGGAACGCAAGGTGGTGGAACAAATAACCCAGGTTGCACTGACCATAAGAAAGCGAATTAATGAGGTTTTAATGGTCCCACGCAGCCCCGCCATGCACCTTAATCGCTCAACTGCAGTTATGCAAATGACACAACTTGAAGGCAAACATAAGCAGATGATAACAAAACGCCGGAGTTGGGGGATAGAAAAATGAAAGAGTAGAGAAGACGCACAGAGCAAAACTAATATTTAAATGAATCGTTTGATATGGTTTCAAAGAGAATGATTAACTTCTTTTGTTTCAACATGATTCCAGGCGCACAAGGGAAACGAAAACAGTCAATCATGCGCAGCTCTCTCCTCACAAGTTATAATGCGCTCTTATTAAGACGCACGTGGCACATTATGAAGAAATATGAGCACCCCTGTATGCGCTTAACTCAAATTTTCTGGTCTCTGCTTTGATGCATGTGTGATGATGTTAGGGGGTCACTGAGGAGCCCGTGGTGCAACTTGGCAGAGAAATGGCAAACACTGCGATTGCGAGAATTAATGAATGAAGCTGGAAGATAGAAATATGAAAAATGAGTGAAAACACTTGAATATGTACATAGACAAGCACTCTGCGGAAAACATGAGAAGCTGCATCTGCAATAGACATGCTTACGGCGCTGCATAGTAAAATATGGCATAATACTTTATAATAACTTTCATTAATATGGCTTTAATGCACATTATACTGAATAAGGCTTCAAGGAATAGTTGAAAAATGAGAATTTTTTCATCATTTATTCACTCTTGTGTTGCAAAAACATTCTTTCTCGGAACACAAAATTCCATTCTAATGTCATTGGTTCTTGCACGTCTCATAATTGATCACAACATTGCAAACTTGAATATGCACATTTTTAGCAAATAATAACTTTAATTAGACATGTTTTGTGTGTGCCAAATAAAAACATATAATTAGTTCAAAAGAACAGCACTTACAACTAGTGGTCAACCGATATGGGTTTTTTGACAGCCGATGCCAATGCCGATATCTTGGAATACAGGGTGGCCGATGACCGATATAATTTTATTTATTTTAATTAATAATTAAGAAATTTAAAATCATTTGAAAATGGATGAAAAATACTTGTGTAAAATAAACATACTTATACTTTAGAAGACAAAGCATTTTTCACAAATACATATTTAATAAAAATCTAATTGAATGGGAAGTAAACACTGTAACCAACAGGGCACTCAGTATTCTGGCAAGTTTGTGTGTATTGGGAATCATATATATATATATATATTTTTTTTTCAAATACAGCCAAGGTAACACTCATTTTACTTACAGCACACAATGAAAATGACATGAATATGACAGTGGGCAAATGCATAAAGCGCAGCATAATTTGAAATCACGAGTTTAGTTTGTCGATTGCGCGTCTCTAGTCAAGCAGAACTCTCCTCCTGTCCGCCTTCAATTTGCATGGACCGACCGTCACGCAGAGAACACGCGATCATGCAGGATACAAATGCACACTTCACAAGATCTCAACTAGATTCGACTAAGTCTGCAAGGTTTGTGAAATTAAACGTTCATTAGTCATTCAAAGATTTGTTTAAATTATATTAAGTAAAAAGTCGGCTGAAAAATAATTACTCCAATAAAGTATAGATACCCAAAATTTCTACTTAAGTAAGGTAACGAAGTATTTGTACTTCGTTACTTGACACCTCTGGTTATAATACTTTTTTGTATACATTTGAATTCATTTATTTAACAGTTCTTTGTTTAAGCACTGTGTGTTCAGGCACTGCAATCTCAGCGCCGTCAAAATAAAAGTCCACCGCGCCATCAAAATAAAAGGCTCGAACACATCGGCCAAACAGAAAAACTTATCGGCCAATGCCGATATTTGAAAAATGCCAAATATCGGCCGATATATCGGCCTTGGCGGTATATCGGTCGACCACTACTTACAACTATCTGTCAAGCATTAGAGGCAGAAACCAGACTTACATTCCGGCAAATAAATTGACTTGAAACTCAACTTGTATCAGTACTCTTGAGACTTGATTTAGACTCAGCCCTGAAAGACCTGCGACTTGCAAACTTGTCTGATTGTTGTTCAGCTGAAGATCCAAGCACTCACCATTGAAATTAACGCTCCGGATGTATCCGAGGAGCTCCTTTCCGTTGATATTGCTCATGCGGGGGCAGAGGCCGGGGTATCCGAAGCAATAGTCCCTGTGCATGCGGTGCAGCGCGTGTGCCATGGCATAAACCGCATCCATCACGAACTGTACCTTCCCTTCCTGCTCGTAACTGGAGTCACGGCCCACCTTCTCCAGACCTGCACGAACAACACAAAACACACATCTTGAACAAACACGGCCTTTTGAGAGCTCAGAATAAGATGTTTCATTTGGAGAATCCACTCTCACAGATGCAGTAATTCTCTTCTTAATAAATTGCTATTTAATGTTTCTCAAATGTAGCCACTCATTGGAGTAATTAGCTAATCAAATCCTCGAGGAGGTGCGTAACAGTTTTGCCTGTTAAAGCAGCAAAAAATGTGTTCTTTCCAAACAAATATTTCCTTCCATATCTCTAGAGACGGCAAACGTAATATCACGCCTGCCGTTCTGAACAAATATTCCAGCTGTTGTTGTGCGTAAATTGAATTTGGCTCTGGCATCTATGATTATTTCTCTTATAATCATCAGAGCGCTTTCCAACTTGGTGTATTTTAGCACTGGATGCCTCCGGGAAGAACTTTCTTTTCCCACCACAGTTTTTGACACAATGAAGGATAAATAAAAACGTGGGCGAGTTGAATTAGCAAGACCTGGAGTGTTCCATTGCTTCTGCTGTCAGCGAGGAATTAATAGGCTCCTGTAAATGAACCCCAATCCACTTTTATAGCACATTCAGAGCAATAGGAAAATTATGCATTTGGTCTTCCAAAAACTAGATGGATTACCCGACCTGAACAGTGTGATAAATACGACACACAGAACAACAGGCCAGAGAAAACTGACTCCCAGTGTCAAAACAAGGTGAACGTCAGGTTTATTTGTGGTCACACCTCCACAATGACAGTCCATTCACAATCAAAATCATGAGCTATGTTCGGAAAGCAATGCTAGCTTGATGCCGATTGGTGAGACATTGTGGTGAATATTTAAAATAAATAACATATAATAAACTATAATATATAATAGTATAAATAACATAATAAATAAAGTAATACAATTATTAATGAAGTAATATAAAATTGTATAAAATATATAATATAATAGTATAATATAACAATAAATATGTATATAACTATATAATAATAATAAACAATATATAAAAGAATACAAACCTAAATATATTATAAATACATCTAATATAAATAAAATAAAATAAATACATGTAATATAAATCAAATATATGATAAATCAAATATATATATATATATAACATTTTTAACATTTTACATGACAAGTTAAAACTAGACAAAAAATTCAAATACTATATGTTTGAATATTTTAAATAAATAACAAATAATATAAACAATAATGATGCAATAAAATAAATATTAAATGTATATATAACATAATATATAGCATAATAAATTAATATTGCAGTATTCAGTAAATAGAGAGCTAGCATTCTGTTCTGAACAACCATGAATACAACAGCATTTGGCTTTTGTTTGTTGTAAATGTATTCATTGAGCAGATGCTTTCATCCAAAGCAACTTACAAATACAAACATGAGTGATTACTCATAAGAAGCCAATGGCAGCAGTGCCACGATACACAAGTTTATGCGCTGCCTCGATTCAGAGCTGCAGCTGAGGGGCTTTGAGTGATAATACAATAATCATACAACAATGTCCCGTTTTTATGTTTATTATGGCATGTGTACAGGCTTTTCTGTGTCTCGGCTGAGCAGCAGAGGAAACAAACTGACGCTTATTGAGTGATTGAAGACAGCACGGATGACGGACAGCTTAATGAGGCCAACAAGAGTCAAAATTAAATGTCAATTAGTGGCGCAAATGAAATTCCCTCCTTTTCATCTCACATTTCCCTTCCATCTCTGGAGAACTACAGTTAAAAAGACTCTATAGTTTTGTAGCAGGCTGACAGTATCATATAAAAAGAATGATATCTGGCAAAACGTAATGACTGGCAGTTTGATGAATATGCACAAATGGTCCAGCTTCCAACTTTTCTTTCTCTCACTCTGAGTTACGTCTCTGTGTGCCAACATTGAGACAATAATCACCATTCTATATGCTATCTTATGCTAATGAGGACACTTCGGCTACATAATGTATGCACATCTGACTGCATTACTCAAGCCAAGCTTGGAAAAACATCAGTGCCTGTCTTTGTCAAGAGCAACACTTGAGCTGAAGCGTTCAGGGCTGTTTTTAAAGCTAAAAATAAGAAATAGATAGCTGCATTTGCAAACAAATGACACCCGATCAGAGTCATTCTGCAAAACAGATGCCAGGTGTGTCCTTCATACTGTATACATGTATGTCTACAAAATATATAAAGACTTCAAAATTTCAGACACTTTATTTCATGTGTGTGTGTGTGTGTGTGTGTGTGTGTGTGTGTGTGAACGTTTATTTTTGCCATGAGATAGTAAATATATACAAACAAATATAGTCATTTAGATAAAATGTTAATATTTTTATGTGTAAACAATTTTAATATTAATATGCATAAACATATATATATATATACACATTAATAGAATATTAACCAATATTGACATCGATATTAATCGAACATTGACATTTAAATAAATAAAAATATTTTTGCATATATTTGTATAAATATTTCTCCATATATATATTCTTTTTAAACATTTTTTTATTATTAAAAATAATAATAATAGTAGCTTTGTCCCCAGTTTGTCATGTATGTATGTATGTATGTATAAATAAATTATTTATTTATTTGAAAAAACTATTTAAACAGATATTAATATAATGGGCAAGGTGAATTAGCAAGATCTCTCTCTATTTCTAATTCTTTTTAATATTTTAGATTAAAAAAAATTGGTCAGCCATGTTAAAACATTCAAATTCTATAAACATGCCCACACCCACACACAACTTGTGTATATATATATATGTGTGTGTGTTGTTATACCCCCCCAAGCCCCCCAACAGGGGACAATTAAATTTTTACAAAAAATTAATAAGTGAAGATTAAATGTGTAAATATGTAAGTACACACCAGCATTTCATTCTCTTTCTAATAGGTACAGTTTCACAACCCCACAAGCATCATCTTGCTCAAGGCATAGTAATATCCAAAGATATATTTAAATCCATTAATTTAGCTTGAAATAGCAAAAATAATATTTGCATTAACACGTTGTCTGATAAAGTACTTAAAAATCCAACCGAAAATGCACCGTGACGCAATGATGTGTCTGCCTGCGGCCGCTGCAAAACAACCCAAAGAGCCAGTGCGTCTGACCGGGTTCCAGACAGCCGATCCTGTTTGCCATTGGGGAGCACATTTCTGAACCCATCACTGCAATTTCTCCAAGCTGATGGGATTCCTGAACTTCAAAATGAGACTGACACTCATGCTGTCCGAGACCCGATGCCCTCTTTCCCCGAGTCATAGCGGCTCACGCAGCAGCCCTGTTTGCTGTCAGAGCTCCAATACGTGTTTTTAAGCAGCTCTGATTTATTTGAGGAATGGCTAAACACATCCTGACATTAGTTATTTTATTTCGAACCGTTCTCCCCTCTATAATTTTCAGCAGGTTAGTCTTTGTGTAAGCTCTTAGCTCGTGGAAGAAAGAGTCAAAGCACGCGTGACACTAGGGACTAGTCTTATTGTTGGTGATAAGACGGAGCGTGAAATCGCATTAAGAGCTGCGGCTGAGGTTCTGCCACCTTGTGCTCTCCAGGGCTTGCTGGGATACGGTTTGCTGGGAAGGCAAGACCGGCTGAGCTCTTGACACCAATCTAACAACAGTCAGATTCGTCTCGTCAGCCGGAGCAGCCAGGTGTGGCGTCCGCACAGGAAGTCAGGCTCATGCACTTTTAATTAGGACTCAGTCAGGGTAATAAATTACACAGCACAGCAGTGTAAGACTCCATCACATAGATGGAGTGAGCTTATTCGTTACATTCAGTGCATGAGGCGATACGGACAAATAAAAAAACAATATGAGCAAAGCACAAATGGGGAGGGGTCTCATGAAACTTGTCCAGCTCATATTACACTACAAAATCTAAAGACCAAAATGAGAGAATATATTTAAAATAATTTTATACCAGTAACACACATCCCCATCTCAATTTCCCATTGTTGTGATTTAAATTAAAAATGTTATTATAAAATATACAAAACATGATCAAATGTAAAAAAAAAAAAAAAATTATAAAATGTAAAATAAAACTAAATTGAATAATAACTATAATAATAAATCAATATGAACATTAACATTAATGTGATTTATATACATTTTAAATATCTTAACTATATCATATTTAAGCAAGTATTGTGGCACAACCTTCAATTTATTATTTTATTTTACAACAAAAAAACTAAAATAATACAATAACTAATATAAATAATAATATAATAACTAAATAAATAAATAATAACTAACTAAATAAATAAAATCTTAATGTATTACATTATTTATTAGAATTATTGGTGTGCTTACTATGAAGAAAATATTGTACATTTTAAAAACATTAAAAAATCTTAAACGTATCAAAATTAGACATTATTTTCTTTTTTCTTCTGATTTTTAGGCATGCTTTCATGATGGTAACCTTTAGCATTTATGGTCCCATTTCTTCCATTCATCCCTCTCTTCTGTTTTTTGTGTATTCGGTAGCACGCTACCGACAAAAACAAAACGAATCACTGCGTCCTCAGTGGCTCTGATGTCGAGAGAAAATAAGACTCATATTTTTACTTTTACATCCAACTACAAAACACCTGAATTGCTTATGACATTGTTGTGAGCACGGAGAAAATAGCGCTTAGCGTACAACTGGCTGAGGGTGGAAATATGCTAAAACAGGACACTTTGTCAGCGGTCGTGGGCGGGGCCTCAGCAGTACGACGTCAAAAAATGGCTTGATACTTGAGACTGTTTCGATTTTTTGGGGATTAAAAAAAAGGAGTGAATGGATTATCATTGTAGCGTGGTTGTGTCCAGACACTGCTAAGACACATTTATATGCAAGCACCACGTAAATGTTGTATCCGACGTCCCCTTTAAAATGGCATGTCACAAAGCCAGAGGATGTTGTAATAAAAGCCAAACATGCGAATTCCAGCGTGACACTGGGTTTCTGAGGGCATA